AGTTGATGGGTATGATTTGTTGTGGAATAGATTTAACCTACTTAGGTATAACTTCGCAGTCGTTGAGATGCCTACACGGCCATCAAATTCATTCAGAACTCCATGTATCTAACCTCATACATAAGTAATCTAGACATGTCACTTTACCGTTTAAATTACTTTAAACTAATAGCATTGCCTTTACATTTATGAACTTTGTGCATTCAAATGTAAAATATCACAACAGAAAAGAAAAATGTTTCTTGCACGAAGCACGAGTTTTCCCTTAGTACTAAAATGAAATGGTCGCGGGTTCGAATCCCCGTCACACCAAACATGCTCGCCGTTTCAGCGATGGGGGCGTTATAGCGTGACGATCAATCCCACTATTCGTTGGTAAAAGAGTAGCCCAAGAGTTGGCTAGCCGTCCCTAATTTAACAGTGTAGGACTAGAGAAAAGGCAGTTAGTCATCACCACCCACCGCCAACTCTGGGACTACTCTTTTACTAACGAATAGTGGGATTGACCGTCACGTTATAACGCCCCCATCGCTGAAAGGGCGAGCATGTTTGGTGTGACAAGGATTCGAACCCGCAGATTGCGAGTCCAGCTTCCTAACCACCTGGCCATGCCAGGCCTTGTATAAGTATTCATATTTCATAGTAGAAGATGCCACTTTTTTTTTCATTTTGATATACTGGGACTAAATCTTCTTCAAAATATGTTTTTGTATGAATCAGTAATATCTGCTCAAATATTCTTCACTACAACCAAAATCACACACAGGTATCGTTCCACATTCCAATATACTGCCGCATTTGAATCAAGGGGAATTCAAGACGCTAAAGGTAAAATAACCTTGAAAAACCATACAATAGCCAGTCTCTACTTCCTGCTGACTGACAGCGCCCAGAGAGTGGAAGACAGTTCCGAGCAAAAATGGGAATATTTAGCTATCTTCAGGCTCATAGACGCCGAAATGAAGTGAAATAACTGGAAATGAAAATATCTGGCTGTCATATTCGATTACGTTGGGAAATCATCAGTTCTTTGTAAGAGTTACTAACTTCTTTTTTTTTTCACAATTTATATTTATGGCAAAGCTACTAACGCTATTTGCTGCCGTCCCCAATTTTGCACTTCTGACCAGAAGGAAGATAACTACTAGTAAGTAGCATTATACTACCCACCATCCATAATAAAGGATTGACTATCACTTTTTACAATGTGCATACACAGCTATAAGTGCTGGGAATATTTTGGCTTGTCATATAAGGTTCGAATCTAATTGGCCAGCTCCAAAATCCAGAGCTCTACCACTGGTTCAACCAGTGATGAAGTGAAAGATAAAGAAGTGCCGGAACTCGTTTTACCATGTAGGGTAGGATTAGCTCGAAACAGTGGCGATACGGCGTTCAGGCTTTAAAAAGATCAACCCACTACTTTTTACAATTTTAAACATGAAAATGTTATTATAAGACATCTTTTCACTACAGAATGTATATATAGCATGTGTCTAGATTCTAGAAATAGTTGTCCCTCAGTTTATGGATTTACAACGCGAAAATCCGGGATTCGGTTCACCGTGGTGGACAGAATGCAGATAACATATTGTGTAGCTTTACGCTTAAACGACCAAAGAAACAAAGAAATAGCTTTTTAAATTATAATAAAGTATTGTTACGACAGCAGGGGTCACGTGACGCTAGTAACACTCATATTCTCGAAGGTTAGTGAAGTCTCGTCACTTGTGGCAGGTCATCAAGTAGTACCTATAATAGTGGCCAATTTCTCTAAATGTGAG